GGCATTAAAAAAAAGGAAAAAAAGAAAAGAGAACAAAGAAGATAAATAGGAGCAAATAAAAATAAATTACGTTAGGTAAAAATATGCATCTAAGTATCTGACTAAGAAATGAACAATTTTGGACCTAATAACTAAGGACCATACACCGGTTATACATAGAGAAAGAAAAGAAGGAAATAAGCATATGTTAATAACATGCATTAACAATAAAAGGGAATTTTTATTGATTTGCTATAAAGGAAAATTTTTTACCAAGTTTTTAGAGCAGCAACGTTCATTCATAAAGTGATAAAGTTATACATCAACAGAAACAACAAAACAAAGCTAGCATATTAATAGCAGCACGGGAAGGCAATATGTTGAATACCATTAAAAAACATTAAAAGATTACAGGTAAAAGCTATTAGGAATACCTGAAGTGCAGATATGAACCAACTAGGGGCCAACACAGGTAGTCAAAGATAGAGGGATGAAAAAATAAAGCACTAAATGATCGACAACAGACTAAAGCAGTAAAGGAGTACAAGAAAGATACAAACGGGAAAATGTCGAGTGAAAAAACAGACCAATAAATGGTTGACAACAGACTAAAGCAGTAAATGAGCACATGTGAGATAGAAAGGAAAAAACGTCAAGGGCAAGAAAAAGAAGCAAAAATACCAGTAACAAATTGATGTAGAACAGTAGCATATATAAGCAAGGAATGAAGAAGCTAAAATGAACAGTAAATAGCCTCTAGCCACATAACACGTGGTAAAGCATTGTCAGTTAACAAAAGTTAAGAACTAAAAACTTCATTATTAACTGATAACAAAAATAATATTGTATTTAGAATAAAATAAGAAGACAAAGAAGCTAATAAAAAAAGAAAGACAACATAACTCCAAGAATAATTATCTCACGGAGAGAGAATAAAAAGAAACGGTATCAGGAAAAAGCAGGAAAAATGGGGAAAAAATTTTCCCCGTAAAATTCCAACCTATTTCAGGGAGTCAAAGAAGAAATAATCACCAATGCATTTAATACATCTGCTGCAAAATATGTACAAATTATCATGCTGGCAATACAAATCAGCAGTACAAACACCACAGCTCAACAATTTAATATATGAAAGGCCAAAAAATCAGGATTTACATACATGTGGCAGCCAAGCAGCGCTGTAGAGCAAAAAATCCAGAAGAAAAAAGCTTCATGAAATTAGAAAAGATATAACAATAATTGAATAAATGAAAGGTAAGAAAATGAAGATTTACACACACACGGCGTGCAATCAGGGAGGGAGATCAACAAATCCTGCACAAAAAAATATATGAAATCAGAAAACAAAAATCTCATAAAAAGTATTTTATAAAATGGAATCTATTTCTCAATAGGAAATTACAATGCATATATTCTTATGAATCCCAACAATTTATACCAAAGAGCGAAAGGAAAAAAAAAGGCAGAGGAAGAAAAACAACGGAAAAAAAGAACGGGGAAAGAACGAAAACGAAAGCTGCAAAATCAACACATAAAAACCCAAACTAAAACTGCGGTTGAAGCCAGCGCAAAAGCGTAAAAGAAGAATCAGCGACTCGCGGACGACACCAACAACATATACCGGAAGAAAATCGCAAATCTAACCAGCAAAGGAACCCAAAAGAAAAAAAGAATAAACTCCTAAAATTTCCACCAAAATCACACCAAAGAATCCGCAAAGACGAAGGCACAAAGCAACAAATGCAAGATCTGCAGCAAAACGAAAGTGAAGAAACGAATGAAAGCGAAAAGGGAAAAGACAAAAAAAGGAAAAAAGCAACAACAAAACCAAGAAAGCAATGCTAAACCAAAAAACCCAGAGAAAAGAAGAGCAAAAAAGAAAAAACATGAGAAGAAATGAAAGAGGCGAAGGAAATGAGAGAGAGGCGGAGGAAAAATTAGGGCTCCATCGAAGAGCTGAAGCAGGCGGAAAAAATGAGGGAATCGAGGACAAAAGAAAAATTAAAGTGCATGTTTATGGTTCGTTTGGTTGAAGGATTCAAATCATGTGATTCGAACCATTTTCGATTTACGTGTATTTTTTGTGAGAGAAAATACTGTAGCGAACCACGAATCATGATTCGAATCAGGGAACGAATCCCTCTACCAAACGCCCCCTTAGTCTCTACCGGTTGCAAAATGACAAGAAAACCAAAGCCCAAAAATCCAGAAAAAGAGAAACAACAGGGGCAAAATCGGAAAAGCAACCCATCACAAACGGGTTAAAAGACCAAACCACCCCCGCGCTAGACAAAGGAGGGAGCAGTAAATCGAGGGCAAAATGGTCACTTCACTGTAGAAGAAACAGTGAACTGAGTCTACGTGAACATGAAACCCCAACTCCCCTTTAGTATATTTATAACTAGTTTTGTGCCCGCGCGTTGCTGCAGGAGAAGTTTTTATTAATACGCTAACAAAAAAATCGGTAAACATATATGCATATATGATTATTCAAACGTTAATAAGGAATAAAAACTCTATTACTGTAGACTAATAAGACATAGAAAAGAACAATTATAGAAGTAGGAACAAATTTTTATCAATAGCATAATAAATAACACAAATCAACATAGAATATATCCAATATCAATAACTTATATAAGGAGCATATATGGAAATAAGTAGTAAAAGTATCTGTATCGCTCTAAATATGACCTGAAACACGAACTATAAGCCAACCAATTACAGATGAAACAGAAATAAGTTAAATACAAACAAACAAAAAAGCCAAGAATATTAGAGCAAGTAAAAGGAAGAAAAAAGTAAATATTCAAACAATTGCATTCAATCATTATAAAATATATTATAATTTAAAATAAGAATCTAATAGCTAAAAATACATTCATTGTAATTCCTGAAGAAATCGTATAGAAACAAATAAGCAAAAACAGATTGTAACAGTCACTATTCTATATTACAACCGATTAAGGAGAAAATATGTTAAATACAAAGAGATATATATACTACCATACACTTGATAAGGATTACAGGTTAAAATAAGACAAAGATCCTTAATAATACCTGGAATATTCTCAGTCCTGCGTTAATCAGCCTATACCAACCAACCAAGTCAAAGCCAAAGAAACACAACACAATGGAGTAATAAATAAACCAGGGTAAAGCAGAGCAATAAATGATCAACGATGGAATAGAGAAGGAAGGATGTTTGCTGTGAAGGACAAAATAGGAGAGAATTTATTAAAATATACAACGACAACATTTTATACATATAAAGAATAAGATAACCAATAGCAATGTCACACGTACTGGATATAAGGCGGCGGATGGAAAATGCAAATGAAAAGCATAGAGGGAAAATCTCCAAGAACATTCGAGAATCATCAGTCAAGTGAGGGGGGAAAAAAAACAATAGAAAAGTAAGAGCCTAAAAAAAAAAGAAAAAATTCCAAACAATATTCAAGAAAAGGAAAGTGAATGAAAGAGAGAGAAAAAAAACTTTTTTTTTCCTTTTTTTCCAAGAGAAATTTCGTACATATTCTGAAAAACGGAAAAGAAAAAAAAATCTCCAAGTCATTAATAAGCCTAAAAAAAAAACACAAATCAATGCAAAAGTACAAATTAATACCCTATGGATTACAGATCATCAACATGCATCAGCAAATTAATAAATGCAAAGGAAATCGATTGAGACAAATGGCAGATACAAAATCAGCAGGTAAAAAAATCTTCAGACGAAGGATTTACCTACACAGATGAAGCACCACGTAAACCACTTTCTGAACAAATGAATCAGCTACTAAATAGAGGGAAAATTTCCAAGAACATTCGAGAATCATCAGTAAAGTGAGGAAAAAAAAAACAATAGAAAAGTAAGAGGGAAAAAACCAACAGCAGAAGAACAAAGTGATTTTTTAAAAAAAAAAAGAACAACACGGACAAAAAAAGAGAAAAAAAACCAACAAACGAAAAAGAAAGAAGAAGGAAAGCAACACGACGAAAAAAAAAAAAAAAAACGCAAGCTAAATCCATAACAAAAACCATCAACAAAAGGCATGAACCAAGAACATGTAAAACCCAAAATAAAGCAACGAATAAGAGACAAACCTTCGACATAACAAAAAATGGAAGAAGCAGCCAAAGTAAAATCATCAGCCAAAGAGGAAACCACCGAAGACCCAAAGCTGAGGAAAACAGAAGCACAAAAAAAAAAATTAAAGAGAGAGAGAAAGAAACCCTAATAACCAGAGGCAGAGGCCAAATCAAAAAAGGAAGAAAGAATGAGAGAAACAAATTTGGGATCTGAAGCCACACAATAAGCAGCCAAAAAGACCAAAAAACCACACGCTAAAACATACCGAAGAAAGAAAACCATAGGCAAAAAAGGAACTAAAAAAATTAGCGTACAAAAAAAAGAAATCAGAACTCACACAACACGCATCCGAAAAGACCAAAAAACCACACACTAAAACACATGGAGAAAGAAAACTATAGGCAAAAAAGGGACCAAAAAAATTACTGTACAAAAAATAGTGATTTATCTCTTAATGAACAGTGAAAAGCGTGCTCTCCTTTAGTAATATATAATAATGTCTTCTTGCCTTTTTTTCCATTTTTTAAAAGCACCTCTATAATATAAATGAATTTCCTATTTTGCAGTAAATAATATATTACTCTCATACCCGATAACACGTGCAAAAGCACGTTAAAAAAATTGTTTCAATATAAATTATAAATTTTGAGCCCGTTTAGTTCGTTGATTTGAGTTGAGATGTGATTTTATGTGAGAATTTTTTATTATAATAAAAAAATTAAATATAATTATTTATGAGAGTTTTTTACTATAACAAAATTTAAATTTTAAATTCGAATCAGTGAAATGAACGGACCTTTAATTATGCAGTGATTATTGTGCCCTTTCTATTTCAATCTTTATTTTTTTTTTTTTTTGGGTATTGATGCTTTTTAATTTTTCCTTTTACTATATCTCAAGAAAAGAAAAAAAAATCCGTTTTACTATTTCTTTACCTTCGTGTTTCCTTCTCTCTTTCACGCGGGAGCGCTCGCACTCCCTCCCTCCCTAGCGTCTCTTTGTCCAGACCATCTCTCTCTCTCTAAAAAAGAGCACTCCAATGAAAAATCCCGTTAAGATAGGCTTTTATCTCTCTTTCTTTTCCTTAACAAAAGTCCCCTTTTGGTAGACTCTTCTTTGATTGGTGGAGAACATTTGTTGATTGTTCTGATTTTTCTGAGAAATTCTCAATTTACCATCTTATAGCTTCGAAAATCCTCTTTATATAATATATATATATATGTATATGCATATGCATGATGGGTGTGGTTAATTCCAAATTTGCAATTTTGGTCGTGTTGTTGTAAACCCAAATTATCCACTTTGTTGCTACTAGAATATTCTTATATAATTCTTATTAATTTTCAGTTTTGTACATGAGTTTTTTTTTTTTTTTTTCGTTAGGTTTGAGATAGGCTGCTACAGGATGAAACCAAAGGACGACTTTCCTGAGTGGCGTTCTCGTGTGGTCTCGCCGTATTTCATCAGCGACAGAAACGACGCGATGGAGAAGAAATACAAATATTTAAATATAGGATTAAAGTCATATTTGGTCCGACATCAAAACGACAACAAAAAGGCCGCAAACGACGATCGGAAACCGCGCAAACGCAGAGAAGCACGAGTGGTTTCTCCGTACTTTGAGAAAAATGGAGACAAGGGAGTGAAGGTTCCAGAAGCTATGGCGATTTCCGTGGAAACGAAGCGCAAGAAAAGGAAAAAAAGTGACCAACACGACGACGCTCCTCCGCCGCGCGTTGTATCGCCGTATTTCGTCGCCGACAGCAGAAAAGAAGTCGAAATCGCCGGGAAAAAGAGGAGAAAGAAGAATATTGACCGAAAGGACGACGTTGCTGGGTCGCGCGTGGTGTCGCCGTATTTCACTACGAACCGAAACGACACCCAAGAGAAGAAGAAGAAGCCAGAGAAGGACGGCAGAGAAGAAGTTGAACTTGGCGAGAAAAAGGAGGAGCATTTGAAGCTTGTGGACGTGCTTTCTCGGTTCGCTTACAAGCCAATGAAAGAGAAAACGACAGTAGAAAGGGCTGAAAAGGGAAGAAAACTTGGACTTGTTGGAGTTGGAGAGAAGAAAATGTCGAAAATAGTAGTAAGAAGAAAAAAGATAGAGAAAAGCAAAGTTTTGAATGCTGCTGAGAAAAGAGATGAGGCTTACAAGAGGAAAACAGATGATAACAAATGGAATCCTCCTCCTTCTGAGATTCGTCTTATTCAACAAGATCATCTTCACGATCCATGGAGGGTTTTGGTGATTTGTATGCTTCTCAATCGGACTACCGGTGCCCAGGTACATAACATTCCAATCCGATCCGATCCGATCCGATCCGATCCTTCTTATAGTAAATGCTTGATGCCCTGCTTTTAGTAAATTACATTTTGTTTTTTTTTTTTTTTTTTTTTCACATTGTTATATTGTGATTCTGTTGGCCTCATGCAATTCTTTTTATTGTCTAAAATGTAGTGGGTGCAAATTGTCCCAATTTTTGGCCTATCAAGTTCCATTGAAACAGTGGTAATGGTGTTGTGATGGCTTGTAATAAAAGAATACCGTTGAAATGCCATGGATGAGAATGTGATTTCGTTTTTGGTTAAAATTGGTCTTTTTTTCTTTGTCAAAGTAAACGATACATTTTCAATTGTCATTTGGATTGCGAGTTCATAACTCATAGCTGATGTATGTGCTAAAATTTTCTTCTAGTAATAATTAATTAATTCATGTGATTAAATCAGTACATAAGACGACATATTTCTTCTTGCAGGCAACAAGGGTTATATCGGATTTCTTCTCTTTGTGTCCCAATGCAAAAGCTGCCACTGAGGTCTCCCCGGAGGAAATAGTGAAGATTATACACACTCTTGGTCTACACAAAAGGGCACAGATGATACAACGTTTCTCTCGGGAGTATTTGGAGGAAAGCTGGACCCATGTGACTCAGTTGCACGGTGTTGGCAAGTAAAATCGCTGACCTTTGCCTTTATTTATTTATCTTTTAAATAATAAGCAAATATAATAGGAAGGAAAAAGTAAATAGCTATGTTTATTATACACAAGGATTGTGTTTCATATTTAGCTAGGGTATTTTATATGGAGAAGTTGTCAATCCAAATGCTTAAGATGAAAGCAATTAGACATATATTAGGACTACGTCGAAGTGTCGAACGTTGTATGATGGCACTATTATGATGAATAATACATAGGCGTGATATGGAACTTGATTTTCTTTTTAAG